TGTTATAAATTCACACAATCATTGAATTATTGGTCAAGTAATTCAAAACATAAAACACCATAAATAAAATAAATAGATATAAAATTGAGAACAAGAATCTTGAAAATTAAATTAAAGAATTACACATAAATTACATTGTTTGTCCTAGCTAATGATCTAGCTACTCATACTCTATATTTAAAACAATAAAAAAAAGTAGAAAGTTCATAATCGGGTTTTGAAATCTTGATGATAAAAAGAATTAATGGATCTTACATTAATAATCTTTTTCAATCTAATTTTTTTTCAAACCCTAGCTTTTTACCCTTTGATTTTAATGATTGTGTTTTTTTTTTTTTCTCTAAAATTGTGTGCAACATAAAAAGGAATAATGAAAACCATATATAGAAAATATAGAGGTTGCTTGAGTCCCATTTTTCTAAAAATTTATTTTAACAACATATTTTTTAATAAAATAATATTACACGCAAATTCAAAATTTTTCCTTAATTTTTAAGTACACGTTTTTCATCAATTTACTATTTTAAAATGCATGCTTTCCTTAAAATAGGGGTCAAACAATGGCCTAGAATAACTTTAAAAAAGAGTCTTGAATTATCCACCGTATAAAATTTGAGTCTAAATAGAAAATCACTTTGGTCCTCCACATTAAGTTCTTGTGTATCCCAGGTCCTCTTTATTTGCATGGCATGTCTCATCTTCAAGACTTGATTAGTTTAGTTCTCAATTTCTCAATTTTGTACCACTTCAATCTAATTTCATGAAAGCTTGTCCAATCCAAGTTTTACCTAAATCAATCATAAAATAACATAAAATAAGTAGATATTCGCTCAATATAATTAAAAAATCAATGAGAATAGAAGCCCGATCACGTTTCTAACCTTTTAACATAAAATGCTCTTATCAGTATCTATCCTCACGTGACCAATCACGTTTCTAACCTTTTATATACAATTGTTTTGTTACACCCAATTTACTTTGGGTTGAGTCCAAATATGAAATTCGCTAGCTCGATTCTTCATACCCAGCTTCAGACGATTCATAATATAATAACAAACTTCTAATACCTTGCATGGATGCAATTACTTGATTTGCACAAACGAAACCCTGATATTTATATGAAAAAACCTTTTGAAAAGAAAATTATATTTCACTATAAATAATTTTCTAAATAACTGCACTAATCATCAAATATTAAATCCTAAAGTCAATTTTTTAACTTCTTTCAAATTAGCTGCAAGCACCGTACTTTAATAAAAAAAAATTTCTTAATTACGTGTATACGTACAAAAAAATTCTTTTGAAATTAATTAAACAACAAAAATAACTAGTGGATATTATTTGCTTGATATAAAATGCACAAGTGAGATATTGGTATTTATGTGAAAAAGGAAAAATCTTCTAAAAGAAAAAAATTACACAGAATTGTGGTTGATTGTAATTTAAAACTTTCGCCGTATTACTTTCATCAAGAATTTAATACTTTTAGGCCCTGTTTGATTGCATCATTTTCCATGAAAAATGTTACATTCGAGGAAGATGAATTCCACTTTGGCCGTTTGATTGCAATGTGGAAATTGAACTCGAATTCCAAGGTACAACCACTTTAAACTGCATTTTCTTTGTTTTCATTGAAAACAAATTCCTATGAGTTTGATGGATTTTTATTTTTCAACTAACATGGAATTGGAATATCTTTCTATCTTTGCTTATCAAACGGATCCTTAGTTCAAGAAAGATCTGTCCAACTTACTTTTTTAATGCCCCCTATGCATTGATTAAAAAGAAAGTAAAAATGGAAACTCGTGCGATAAATTGTGTTAGAAATCATGATTGTTCATGTCTACCTATATTCTTTTGACTTTCTTGGGTTGGATTGCCTCTACTCGAAGTCAAGGGAACATAAATAATCATGGAAAAACAGTGATCATGTAATTTTTTCTGTTGTATAATCATTTAAGGATGTTAAAAAATAATAGAGATTTAAAATTAGTCGAATTCAAACACGTACGTTTTTAGTAAATTTCTTGGCATACTTTAAAGTTATTGAATTTCGTTGATTCAAAGTTAATATTGGAATAAATCTACAATTAAAAAAAAATGTCCCTTATGCCTAGATGATTTAAAATCTTTTGAATCTTAGTAATTGCAAGAATCTATACCAATAATTCAAATAAATTGTGTGATATATATTCAATCAACAATAATGCAAAATGTACACTCCTTTCTTTACATTGATTTCGACATTGTCTTTGTTTTTTGAAAATTGTGGGAGGAATTTTTTTTTTTTAACTGTCCAATGATATTTTGTCATGTGGCACACTGTAAAATATGATATAAATGTAGCATAATTGTTAAATCAATTATGATCCCATTTTCTACATTTTTTAAATCTCGATTGTGGTATCAAAATAAGTTTACATGTCTCAAAGTGTGATAACGTTGTGAATCCGACAGGATATAACAATAACAAATTTTGTGACACGTCTTTCATTTTAATCTAATATTTCCCGAAAGAGATATAACCTTACATATTCATATCGTAGAAATCTTTAAGTAATAAAATATACTTTATTTAGTACATAATTACATTGAACTTTCAAGGTAAACTACATCGATGGTGGGGTGAGGTCAAATTGAAGTTCCGGACAATCTTTCTTTAAGGACCAGTTTTGGGTATTTGAACTTACAAATCAAGCTTTCTATGCTGCATTTTAATTATAACTTGTTTGTCCATGTTCGGTTGTAACTTTTTTGGGTTAATTTCGGCAGTCAAATCTTCTTTTTTGTTACTTTTTTATTTTTTTAATCTCTCTCCTGTCTTTCAACGAGACTAAAAGTAGACAAGTATCATTTGAATCACTTTCGACTTTTAAGGATTTTATTATTTTATTATACGTTTCGCTGATAGCTCTACCGGCATGTTTGTAAGACAGTTAACATGTAAATAAATTTACTTATAAGTAAAAAACTAAATATTATAGATATTTGTTTATTGAGCAATGGACACTAATGTAAGAATTACCTTCAATATAGTAATTTTTTTGCTTAGATTTAAGCTTAACCAAACAATGAATGTAATCTTCTTAAATTTTGATTTCGGTCATATCGATTAAAAATGGGCAAATTACATCAATATTTTTCTCAAGTTTGGAGTGATCAAGTCACTGAAATTATTCTTACAGTAATAATCACTCAAATTTTTAACTATTACATGATTGTCATTCAATCAAAAAACTTAAGGCTCCGTTTGATTGGCGGAATTTTCCAGGGAAGTAGGAAAATATTTTCCTACTTTCACTTTTTTGACTGTTTGATATGCGAAATTTTCCACGGAAAATGTTTTCCTCCCTTTTTCTAGGTACAACTCTTTGATACACNTGTTTTCCTCCTTTTTTCTAGGTACAACCCTTTGATGCACAAATGGTGGAAAATATTTTTTCACCTAATATGTGGGAAAACATTTTCCACCTTTTTTTTTCTTGCAATGAGAACAAATTCTAGACATAATGGTAAAAAAATTCATTTTTATTTACAACTTTCATGCAAAATAAAGTCAAACGAATGATATTCGGCATGGTAAATTTTTTTTTTTCAAAATTTTCTTTTTTTGACAATGAGAACAAATTTAGTCTCAATAGTAGAAAAAATATCATTTTAATGGACAAATTCCATAAAAAACGAAGTCAAATGGATACCAAATTTTTAACATTTTTCATGGAAAATTATACAAATCAAACACAATTAATTACAATTCCTAGTAAAACATTTTCTAAGAAAATCAATTCCCTGTAAAACATTTTCTTTCCACCCATTTTCCACCCTTGCAATCAAACGGACCCTTAGTGTAATTGAAATGCACTTGTAACAAATTATTGAACTAAAGAAAATATTTTCTAAGAAAATCAATTTCCTGTAAAACATTTTCTTTTCACCCATTTTCCACCCTTGCAATCAAACGGACCCTAATATTAAATCATATGTTGCACTACTAAGTCTCAAAATATCAACAAATAACATTATTTACTACGCCAATTCAGCGAAATTTGAGAATTAGGAATTGAGAATTAAACACATTCAGATAAGAAAACGTGATGCGACATTAGATTTGATCTGATTTTCGGACTTAAATCATATGGTAAACGTAATAAATAATATTATCTGATGACCTGTCATAGAACCATGTAGAATTTATTATTGATTTTATTTGATTGAGTTAGAAATAATAGTGATTATTATTATAAAAAAATAACTTTAATGACAGTTGATAATTCAACTGTCGTTGATGTGATTATTCAAAAATTCGATAACCACTGAAATGGTTAACCCACTGAAGACATTTGTGTAGGTGGGCCGCACCCATGCACGTTATTGACCCTAAATTCACACACACTTTCGTAGAGTCCCTATGGCTATAAGGTAGGGCTACCAATATCAGTTTAAAATGAAAGTTTCACAACGTAATCATTTCGGCCTTGGCACTGTTTGTGATGAAATGTTTTGGATGACAAAAACATCATTCGTTAGTTTTTTTTTTTTTATTTTTTGATGAAATGGTTTTAATAAAACATATAGGTCATGAGTTAAAATTTCACCCCAAATTTAATCATACAAATTTACGCATTGCGCTTTCTCATGAATTAAAACGCATTAATTTTCGTAATAAGTTAATCTTGCAATGTAGAACGTTATTCTCAACAATATTAACGCAATATTTGTGGTTGAAAATCTATTTTTATTTTTATTTTTATTTTTGACAAGTGTCTTTCAAGTTTCAACAAAATATTAATTAAATAGAACCTCAACTTAATGGAGACATATGCTAACAAAAATGATAATGATTTTGTCACGTGGAGTCTCTTAGCTAGTAAACTATCACTATTTAACATAATATTTCATTGTCCTTGTACCAAACATTTCAAGTATAAATACCCCACCATGCACCCTCATATATTTCTCATACATTACCTTATAACATAATAGTTCATTGTCCTTGTGCCATGATGCCTTCGATAACCATGTCGAAAACTGTATGCGTGATAGGTAGCGGTCCGTCAGGGCTCGTGGCTGCCCGGGAGCTGAGGAAGGAAGGCCACAAGGTGGTGGTTTTTGAACAAAACCATGATGTTGGAGGGCAATGGCTATATGACCCTGAAATAGAGGATGAGGAGCCCTTGGGAAGGGATAATTTCTTAAAGATACATAGTAGTATATATGCATCATTGAGATTGGTTTCACCTAGGGAAATTATGGGGTTCACTGATTTTCCATTTGGAATGAAAAAGGGGAGGGATATGAGGAGATTCCCCGGCCATAAGGAGCTTCTTTTGTATTTAAAAGATTTTTCTGAATGTTTTGGATTAAGAGAAATGATAAGGTTTAATACTAGGGTTGAGAAGGTGGAGATGTTGAGTTTTCCTACTTCGGGTAATAATTTGAAGTGGATTGTGAAAAGTAAAGAGAAAATGGCGGACAAGGTGGTGGAGGAAGTTTACGACGCAGTGGTTGTGGCCACCGGCCACTACTCTAAGCCTAGGTTGCCTAAAATTAAAGGTACACAATATACTTAAAATGTTACTTTTATTGAAACCATACTTTTAAGAACAAGAAGTTATTTTCAAGTAATTATATGAGATACTTTTTATTCAAAACATGTTGCTTTGTCTCCTTAGGAATGGATGCATGGAAGAGAAAGCAACTACATAGCCACATTTACAGGGTCCCAGAACCATTTAGAAATGAGGTGACAATATTCTTTGAATAAGATTTCATGTCAGTACTCAAGTTAACGTTTAAACATTACAATGAACTCTCTCTCTCTCTCTCTCCCCCCATCGTTATTGTCCGTATTGTACTATCCACCTTACCCATAAATATAAATTTTTAACTACGCCGTCAATTAATTAGAGTCGTGTCACTTTGTAACATAATCATAACCCTTACAAGTATATTCATGGTGCTTGCTTGTGTCATATATGATATTGCTCTTCCTGTTAAGGCAAGTTACATTCTAATTAAATAGTAACACACAATAAACCAGGGACCAAGTCACCTGGTATATTATTAAATATAAATCTCAAATTTTTTTCCAGTTAATATTTTAAAATTTTATTTTACAGGTAGTAGTGGTTATTGGAAGTTCATTAAGTGGGCAGGACATATCAATGGAGCTTGTAGATGTGGCAAAAGAAATTCACCTAAGTGCCAAATCTCTAGACATTTCAGAAGGCTTATCAAAAATAATCTCTAAATATGATAACTTATACCTTCATCCCCAGGTATGTTAAAATACATAATTTGTCCATTTTTTTGCCAAGAAATAATGGAAATATACAATGTGAAAATATTATGTATAATGCAGATTGACTCATTGCATGAAGATGGAAGGGTTTTGTTCATAGGTGGCTCATGGCTGATTGCAGACACCATTATATACTGCACAGGGTAAAATGCCAATATCATAAAGTTTATTATTCAATGGAAAAAAGAAACTAAAGAATATACATTAATATTTATAAAGAAAAAGAAAAAAATAACTGATATTTTAAGGAAATTACATAATTTGGGTGAATTATACTAATTGATGTGAATTAGAGGCCTAATGATATAAGATTTAATCTTCAAAATGACTTGATTGGATTTTATAATGACACAACTTGATCTCGTTCTAAATATGTTAAATTTACGATGTGATCGTCACGTCAAGAGCACGATCTGTCATTTAGTGAGTTGTCCCGGGTCACCTAAATTAGCCTAGCATGCCAAAAAAGGCCAGGTTAGGTTAAAGGTGGCCCGATAGAAACCGCCTCAAAATCGAGTTGACACACTGTGTAGAATTACTAATGATTTTTACAAAAATGAATTTAGTATGTTAATTTCTTGATGCACTGAGATAACGAGACCAATAATTAACAAATACAAGTGGGTAAATGCAGGTACTCATATTCATTTCCGTTTCTTGACACCAAAGGAATTGTAGTAGTTGATGATGATAGGGTGGGACCCCTCTATGAACACACGTTTCCTCCATCACTTGCTCCTTCTCTCTCCTTCATTGGCATCCCAAGAAAGGTAAAGTTTCTATTTTTCACATTGTCTTAAATATTTTAAATTACAAGGAAAATAAACTCGAAAAACTTGTACGTGTAGCACAAGCCATAAATTTTGGACTAATAGGTTTGAAACTGGCTCATGAGTTGTTTATCAGTCGAGTTTTTGTAGGGTTCAAGTTGGCGAAGTTTTTAGTAATTTTTGGTTTGTAATTTGGTGTAGCTTATAGGGTTCCCTTTCTTTGAATGCCAAGCAAAATGGATATCTCAACTACTGTCTGGGAAAAAAACATTGCCATCATGGGATGAAATGATGCAGTCTATTGAGGAATTTTATCACTCAAGGGATGTTGCTGGAATTCCAAAGCACAATACTCATGATCTAGCAGATTTTGAGGTAGCCTAACTATTTTTATATTTATTTCGAGTTAATGTTCATCATTTCATGAGTACAATAACCCGTACAGATGCTATGATATCCCATGTAGTCCTTATTTGACACACATTCTTTCAAAATTCATTTTCAACCACACATTTTTTAATAAAATAATATTTCCATCATATCAATAACTTTTCCTTACTTTTTAACCACATATTTCTCATCATATCACTATTTAAAATACATTCTTTTCACAATAATATATATCAAACACACTCGTAATTTTCAATTCGAAATGAACCATTATTATAAAGAGAAAATTATTTTCTACACGAAAGAATTTGATCTTTGTAAGGTAAATTTTGCTTTTTATCATACCCCTAGAACTTGATAAGTTAGCACCCAGAGTTGACACTCTTTAGCCATGTATGTAATAAGCAAAAGGGTTGACTTAAAATGTCTCTTTATCAACTCACGTACGAGTTGTTCTATTTCACTCAGTAAACTAAGCGAATATATCAGCAGTTGAAGACTAAATTTAAATAGGTAAATGTATAATCTTGCAAGTAGTTTTAAGTTGTGCGACTCAACACGGTATCCAAAGCAAAGATATCATAAGTCAAGTCTTGTTGTCACCTATTTATGAAAATATTGAACCTATTATGCCTTTGACGATGAAAATGAATATGTTTTGCATCTGAGGACCTTGCTGAAGAAAATCATTCAATCATATTGTTATTTTGAATTTGACTCCATTTTTCTTGCAGTATTGTGATAAATATGCAGATTACATTGGTTTTCCACATTTAGAAGAATGGAGGAAAGAACTCTGTCTATCAGCCCTAAGAAGTTCTGATGTCAACTTGGAAACTTATCGTGATTCATATGAAGACGAAGAGATGCTTCAAGAGGCACATAAAAGCCCTCACTTCACTCAACTCGGGAACGAGGCTTTCACCCTGTGAAGGCACCCATGTTGACTTGTAGGCCAACATGAGTAGTTAAACTCATCGCTACTTCGTGATAGCGTGGAGAATTGTTTCTACAATTCTTCCTATAAACTTTTTTGGAAGTATTTCGTGAGCCTTTGCATAGTTTTCTGAATCTTGCTCAGTAGGGAGCTAAGCAAATCACCTGTGAAGGCTGATTTTTTTTTTTTTTTAATCACAAATTTCATATTTATTATATACATTATTAGTAATTGCAAAAAAATCAAGAAAATGCTATAAATCTTGGGTGTAATTCAATCATTCTGTGACTGAAGTAACATGTTCTTTCAAGAATAATGATCAAGCAGATGACATTGCGCTTTTTTGGTAATGTTGGATTTCTGGACTAGCTAATAGATGTATTATTCATGAAGTTGAGACCAAATCAGAAACAACTAGTTAATATATCGGTTTGAAAAGAGAATTGTTGCTAGCGAGTAAGGCTCTTTGGCAGTGCGACGACCTTAAATATTATAGTAAATCTCGTTTGAAGTGAACATGGATGAGAGATGATTGACAAATAAATAGCCAAAGAAACAAGAAAGAACATTCAAGAGAGTTCAATACAAATGCATACCGACTGGATGTCACATGGCAATGAATCGATTCACCCATCAACTCGGGTCGTGAAACAGCAAAAGCAGAAGTTGCAGCCAAATTTACCCAAAAAAATACTTCAAGACTTGTTGGCGCAGCTGACAATTACAAATGCATTTGGATCTATAATCAGCAGAAACTTGCTTTCATGACATAATGAAACTCTGCCCTGTTATAACATTCGCCAAACACATTTGATGTATAATCCACAACCAACCAATCTTCTCATTCCTAATTTCCAGTTTTTAATTTTCAAGTGCAAACTGGGCAATTGTTATAACAAAAATATGTTCCTCAACCAGTTTCAGAATTTAAGTAAATTATGTACAAAAATATCCATGATCAAAAGGTCTTCACAAACCAATCACTACAAAACATTCTACTAAGAGTATAATAAGATTTCCTATAATGAAACAAAAGTCTTAACTTCCTTTATTCCCCATGAAGCCAACAAAATTAGTGATGGGTTTTTCTAGCTCGACCTCCTCGACGTTTCTTCATCTTCCCCCACCCTGTGAAGTTCTCCAAAAAGGCCTGTTTACTGCAAGTATCAGGCTGTTTCAAAATGGAGCTCACTGATTTCTTCACACGATTAGAAGGCCGTAAATTAGAATATTTCCTTAGTTTTGCAGAAGTCTTCCTAACTGCATTTCTCCTCCGGGAACCTGTTTTGAGAAATCCTTCATCCATTTGAAGGTCTTCTTCTACTTGAAAGTCCTTGCACTGCCTTGTTCCCCGCAATCTTCCCCTGCTTGGTTGACTGGACAATGTAGTATCAACTGTTTCTTTCTCTTTCCGGATGTCTTGACAAAAATAATTACCATATCCATGGTGAGGCTTCAATGCCATTGACTCGAAATCATCAATCTCATCATGTGAAACATCAGTTTGATCATAGTAAGTAGCATCTTTCTCGTGTTTCTCAACCTCATGCAGCACTTCCCCTCCCATGGAAGAAACAATCCCAGCAAACCAATACAGATGGTCGTTAGAGTTGTCGAGTGGTTCACCACTTCCAGACTTCAAATGCAGTCGCACTTCAGATGATGAAATTATAATCAAAGTCCCAGCAGCAATCCTATCAAGTTCCTTGAGTGGTTCTCCATCTCGGTCAGGCAGAAAGGAAGGTGTCTCAAGTTTACTTCTCTCAGATTTTTCTCTCTGTGAAGAACACTCCAAGTCAATCTCAACATCATTTCCACCATCTCGATTTGGCACTGTTAGTGAAGGCTCATCCCCAGTTACACCACTGTTTAAGTCAATGTCAGTGTTAGATGTCGAGAATTTATCAACAATCCTAGTATAGGATTTTGCTCTTCCATCGGAATTTTCAAGTTTAATTTCCTCTTTTATATTCCTGGTATTTTCCAGGGTAATTGTCATCTCTGATAAACTGAGAGGCGTAAAATTTAGATCAATAAGCCCTGAATAATTAGAACGACTTGAGCCCTTATCACAATTCACATCCTGATTCTGATGCCCAATCTCATTGTGGCCGTAATCAGTTTCAAAAGGACCAGTGGAACTTGAACTCAGTGATTCAAGCTGTACAGGTTCATTCAAGTCAATCAAACATTTAATTTTAGTGCAACTTAAATTAGAACTAGACGAATATGCAGGCTTAACAGGGTCAAGTTTTGAGTCACTTTTAAGTTGAATGTCTGAAAATTTCTTGAAACTACTATACAGAATGTCAGGTGCTTCATTAGTATTTCCCTCTTCAAACTGTTCCCTTTCTTTAGTATCATTGTACAAGTCAGCTGGAAGTTCAAGATCAAAAATTGTCTTTCCATATCTTCTATTTTGGGATGACAGAATTTCCAGTTCGGTAGAACTGTTTTTTGTTAGGGAAGGTCCAGCTCCTCCTTTTACACTCTTTTCTGCAACTAAAGGAGGAGGTTCTCGAAAGCTGTCCTCAGCTAGTGAATACAACTTACAATCTGAAGAATTTCCAAATAGCCAGCTGGGCGTATGTGAAACCCGATGAGTAGTGTCAGATTGTACCTGACACAAATACGGACATGATTCTGATGTATGCAGTTGTACATGTTGCGTGGAGAATTCTCTCTCCCGTATTTTGACCATCAACTCCTTTTGCCTTTTGTATAGACGATGAAGTTCCTGGACCTGAGAGAGAATACTCATTCAAATGTTCTATTTTGTATTGTAAATGAAATCTGAGTCACTAGGTAAAAAATGTGAAACAACAAATTGTAAAAAATAAAAATAAAATGAATGAGTTTACAAAATTCAGGAGCAGTCATGAGAAGTTTAGTGCTTGTTTGGGATAGCTTAAATAGTTGCAAAAAGGTTGAAGATAGTTACAATTAATTTTATCCACACATTTCGTGGGACCCATAACTTTTTTTTATCAATTTTTCAACCACACATTTCATCATCTTTTATCAAAATCTGCTAAAACATTTATCAAAAGCTTTGTCAAACAACCCTTTAATATGAATTGCTTTGAAGATCAAGTCAAGAATATAACATATGTTGTGACTGCAAAGAAAATAAATGAAAAAACAAAAGGAAGAATTTCCATTACATACGATAATGTGCTTGTACTCATGACCATTAAAAATATCAAACTGGAAACTTCAAGTGGTGCATACCTGAAGTCTAAATGTGGCTTCATGCTCAAGCATTATCCGTCTCATTACCTCCTTGTCACATCCTAAATATTGGTCCACGCTTGAAGGTGGCAATGAAACATTGTAGCTTCTCCCACTTTTGTGAGAAATATCGCCATTAAATATGGACCAAGAGAAGTCATTGGTACCTGCATTAAGATTCCTCACACAGTAATATACAGGGATGTAACTTGTACGCTGCATCTTTGCTCGACCTCTTTCAATTGACCTGAAACCAAGGGATGAAAATTTGAGTATTTATGCATAATCATGCACTCAGAGATTCGATTAATTCACTCATTCACTTAGCCAACTATTTTGTGAAGCTTTCCGTTAACAGAAAAAATAGATTTGGCATTTATACGACACTGAAATTTGCACTGGCTGAGAAAAATCCAATCTTTGTAAAATACGGTGTATCTTTCTTTCATGCCTGTGAAAACGACAAGAAGATCTACATTGTAAGTAATCTAAGACATACAACTGGTGAACATTGATCCATTCATGTCAATGCACCAAAACTATCTAGAAGAGATTTCCATTGACCATAGTCTATGCATAAACTATTGTCTTGAGGAGAGATGAATTTTTCATTCTCATTTTCCTTCTCCTTTAAACGTCAACGAGTAAAATAGAGCGAATAAGGTGTGGGAATTTAACCGGGTTCAATTGATGCTCCCATAATTTGTGAAAAACGCGTTTGACAAATGTGACTCTATTAAATCACACTTTCAACCGGATTACGACACATGGATAGATCTTGGTTGTTGGTTTGAATTCTGGATGGTTCTTTTAGTATGCCATATTCATTTGGCATTCTCGACTTTTGGCTATAGGGTTTCATTCTGTACTTTTTCTTTGTGATTGGCTGAACATTATTGTAACCTTTGTTGTCATTTTGGGCGTTATAGTGGAATTGAGCATAATCCAACTTTTGGATGCTCAACGGAGGATGCAGGTGTTAGAAGTGGTTACCGAACCTTTGGTGCTTAGGCCAAAATATATCGATTGTGTTCTTTTAATTTTCTGCACTTAATTTTCAGAGAAGGTTTTGGTATTTTTTTGTTTCTTGGTCTAATATCGTGTATTCCTGGCCTAACATAAGATTTGCGACAATTCAAGAGTTAGAAACAATAATGACCACTAAGAAGATTAAAGCAATTCAACTCTGAATTGAATAAAATTAATGACACACCTACGATAATTATAGCAATACACATAAAGGCGCGCATCAAGTAATCTATAAGCAGATGAAATCTTATGAATATCTATCATCACACAGTCCAAGAATGAAAACAGGAAAATGGAGAAAATTGTGAAGAACATAAGAAAAGACAAAAATGTCAAACACTAACAAACACATAGATCTAAGAGAAGCACTTGGAGTAGGGCTTATTTAGCCCGGAGAATATTAAACTTCATTTTTGGATAAAAATTAAAAAATGAGCAAAGAAAATATAGAAATCTTTTGCCAAGATAAACAATGATCCCAATTCCCGAGAAATAAGAACCTCAAGTGAGCTCAATTCAACAAAAACCCTCGAGAAATGGAATATATACAAAAATTTAGGGGAAATAATAGACAAAAAAAAACCTACTAAAAACTTCAGATAGATCAAATTTTTACAGAGTATTATCTTTGCGATATAAAAAAAAATGCCTATAACAGTATCGTACTCACAAAATTTGTGCTGGCCAATCCGACACTTTTGCAGGATGAGTAAAAAATTAATAAAACGAAGGAAAAAATCACTATAATATTCCTTTTCAAGCAAGAACCCTCATTTAAAAACAGATTCTCAGATAGGAGGGGAAAGAGATGACAAACACTATTCTGCAAAATTCAAGAAAATAAAAGAAAAAATGTGAGATTATGTACAAATGTGAAATTAATTATGATCAAAATAAAAATTTTCATCATAATGCACGGATCAAATCATTAAAAGCATTAGCTCAACAATCCAGCTGAAGCTCTTGACCAAAAGGAAAAAATCAAG